CAGGGTATTATGTAGCACAAACATCGTCAGCTGAACTTAGGTAAAATAGTTCATTATATAACATTTCAGGAAGGCAAGTTAAGCGAACGAACGTTTTCGACTAATTCATCTTCAAGCAATACAATAAAATAAGGGAGGGTAAGGTTAACGAAAGTTCAAGTAACCAATATAGCATTTCATTTGCGACGTAATTTGCTTGCCATTGAATTTTTTCCTACGTCCATTGAGATTTCCGATTGCAATGCATGTTGAACGCACGAAACAGTGTTAGAAGCATTTCGATACATTTTCAATTTGCGAATTTTACTCGGCTGTAATTCTGAAAGTAATGGAATATATGCAAGCACTGAAAGAAATGCGAAACACACACACACGTAAAGATCTTTTTAGAATGTAATGCGAAGAAAGCCTATTAAAAAGGCAGTTTTTGACATCCGAGAGTTGGTCTAGAATTATTTTCTGTGCACTTTCAGTTAGGTACGGTTTTTCATTTTGAAGGTGTGTGGACCAATTTCGATCTGTGTTTCAAGATCTTGAAACCGTACTATGCCGACACTATGATTGTTGACATGTGTTCACTGGTATCCCTCTTTCTCTCAGTCTTAAGCTATTTTCAAGCCTTCAAATTAAACAATCGAGTTAAGTCGGTCAACTGTGAATGATGCTAATGAAAATGGAAAGCATTGTCCTAGGTCCCATGAGACTTCATTGATAAAAAGCCGTTTTTGGCCACGTGGTTTTACAGGTTATTTGTTTAAAATTGTCAGACGGCATTATTGTCAGAATTAGAAACATTTGGAAGCAAATTGCAATCACTTGTGTGTCTGATCGCATGCTCCGTTGGAGTTTGGGTTCGGTTCCCCTGTTGTTGATTCTTAAGGTCTTAGATGTATCAAGTAATTTAAATTAAATTTTAAGGCGCAATCGTAAACATACCATCTTGTGTACATTGAGAGAAATTTCCTCCCGTCGTATTCCTTCGTAATTATTTCGAGAGTTCGAATGCGACCAGCTTCGGTGTTTTTATTCGATTGTGCCTAAATACCGATTTCGTTCTAAGTGGTTACCAAAAAACTTCAAAATTAGATATTTCTTAAAAGCATTTACCTGAACAATGAGTTTTTACGCATTCTTATGCAGCTGTCTGTTTGGAACATAGTATAACAATTTCTCTTTCGAAAAAGCGCTCAATTAGATATTTCAGTGTCGAATATGTGTGGACTTTGCATTTTTGAAGATTAAGTCAAGATCAAAATGAGAACTCTTGGCCAGTTTTTGACTTCCCTAAAAAGTAGGGATACATCTGCTAAAAATGAAAGCTCTAATTTTTCTCTGTATAACAGAGCAGTTTTCAGTATATCTGTTTACTCCTAGGCTCAGTCCTGAGATAACAAAATCAGAGCAGAGGGGCAGAAAATCAAAGAGGATTTTGAGAAAACTAATAATCTTTTGTCCGTTCTGTTTCAAGTTTTTCTATTTATTGACTCTGCTCTATAGGTTGCTTCCATGTAGTGCACTGGCTAGACAACGGTCATTCTTTTGGCCTCAACGCATATTTCGGAGTTCTTATTCGAGCACGAACAAATCGGACCTTGTGCTACATGGAAGCAGTCTGGCGAATATTCCATCCACTTCAGCTGCAATGTTTCTTCTTTTTTCAACTTGGTCATACGCGTTGAGAACGAATGCTTGCACTGTATCAAGTTTTAAACGATATTTAGCAAAATCGTGGTACAGTGAAATCAGCCATAGCTCAGCCTAAACTGAAGATGGACACGTGTGCCCTGAGTATTGAGAGTATTTAGGTTGGCTAATTTCGACCCGCGGAAGTTTTTTTAAATTTGTAAACATTCGTTCTTATGCAGCTGTGTGTTTGGGCCATGGTTTTAGAATCACCCAAACATAACAAGTCATTGCCGAGGAAAATGAACGTCCACAACGAAAGTCGCGAATGAATATGTCTAAGATTAATATAAAACTTTCTATAACAAGCTACCTCTCGAAAAGCGCTTTACTTAGATATTTCGGCGTCGAATGTCTGCACATTTTATTTATTTTTGAAAAATAAGTCAAGATCAAAATGGGAACTCTTGGCCAATTTTTTGACTTCCCTAAAAAATAGGGATGCATCTTCTTCTGAAAAGGAAAGAACTCACTTTTCTATGTACCCTGAAGCAGTTTTCAGCATGTTTGTTTACTTCTAGGCCCCCTTCTTACATAACAAAAGCCGAACAGAGTGGCTGAATATCAACGACAGTTTTACGGAAACTAATAAACTTCTGCCTGTTCTGTTTTTCTATTCATGAATTCTGCTCTATGGATAGAAGACGTTTGCAAATCTTTCGCATACGGCGTAAAAGAGAAAACTGATGGCATTTCGCGGACCTTCATATACATGCTTGAGTACGACTAATTTTTACGGTCTCATAAGCATATTACTTATAACGTATCAGATTTTTAAGACCGAATTTCGTAAACTGCCTCCGCTGTTCCCTTTGCCGACAATAATGCGTAATATCATACGTGCACTTACCTCAATTTCATGAAAGTGAAACAAAATTTTCTGTTCTGTGAACACATAATTAGAAAAGTTCTGGTCTTTATTAATGCTCTTTTATAGTACAGTATGCACAAACAAGTTATTTTTCCGAAGCGTTTTATAGTTAAGGAAATTCCTTGGATATCAACAAACGTTGGATCTGGCTCAATTCCCCCCTTCCCCCCTATTTACTCCCAGCTATACTGATCTGAACTGATCTTATTTCCAGTAAACAGCATTGTGCGCCTAAAGTCAACTCAATGAACAAAATAAACAACCTTCACTGTGTGTTAGATCCCAAACTCAAGTTTTGGTCTTCGCATTTCATCAGATCTGCAATCTACTGTACGTTTGCAACTAGCACGTCAAATTTCGCATGTTTGTCACACTAATGTCACTGTACGCCATTTCATGTTGGTGTGCGCACAACAGCCTGTTGGCCTAGATCAACCCACTGCGAAAATAACAATCACTGCAAAAAACCTTAATTCACTTACTGTTTGAAATTTTTATGTTTATGAACATGTGTACTGGAATATGCCTCCCAGTTACGATAGTTGCTTCCGGAGTGTAAGCGTTACTTCTCCCTATTCACTAAAAACGTGTATAAGATTCACTTCAGTAGAGCCGGAAGCATCATTCAGTTGCCATCAGTGAATACGTGCACCCTTCCGTTTGGGCGCGTTCTATAGGCAAAAATCACGAAGACCTTCAAGTGTCATTTACCTTCTCGTTTCTCCTGGCAATTGAATCAGTAATGACTGACTTGGTGATACTAAAGAATGACATTGCTAGTTGACCCAATTATGAAAACTGCGCGACCTCGGTGAGAGTCGAAAGCTTTTGCGCGGCCAACGCCCTACCATTGAGCTAAGAAGTCCGACTCCCACCGAGGCCGCGCAGTTTTCACAATTAGATCAATTGAATTAAGCAAATCTGCCAAAACCCCCTAACAATTAAGTGACCCTAGTAGTCGTTCAGGTGGATTCTAGATGATTGCTTAAGAAATCCTGTCTAGGCAGTCAGCTTGCTGTTCCGTATTGGTGGATTCCATACGAGTGGTAAGTTGGGCGGATAAAATCGATCCAAGTGTGATTAAATTCACGGCGCACGATGAGCGTTGGCTACGAAAAAACCTTCCCTGTTGTGTGGGTTCGATTCCCACCGAGGCCGCGAATATTTCACAATTGGTTCAACTGAATTAAGAAAATCTGCCACCCCCCCCCCTCCAGCAATGGCATTCTCATTTCTGTTGTACTAACCAGCCAACAGTCTGCCTGGAGCTCTGGCCGCAGAACCTAGCTAATTATTTGGTCTAATGTTATTTTTTTTTCAGGCGACGCATTTGCTGCGACCGCCACTGAAGGTGTCTTTGTGTACGCCCTGGAGACGGCAGGACTGGGTTCCAGCCTCCTAGGCGGCGTGCAGAACTGGCTCTTCGATGCTAGTGCTGCGGACGAGGAGACCACC